AATTCATATGAATTAAAGTTATCCCCTGTATATCATCAGACCATAGTGCAATTTACCTGGAGATCAACAGCATCAGAAACTGTAAGAACTCCACTAACATGTGGAAATTGAACAACACTCTCCTGAACAACCAATGGGTCACAGAGGAAATTAAAGAAGAAATTAGACAGTTTCTACAATTAAATGATAATGCCAGTACAACATACATGAATCTATGGGACACAATGAAAGCAGGTTTGTGAGGGAAATTCATAGCAGTAAGTGCCCATACCAGGAAAACACAGCAAGCTCAAATATGCAACATAATGCTGAAACTTAAACTCCTAGAAAAAGAAGAGCAAGACAAATCCAAAGCTCATACAAGGGAGAAAATTATAAAGATCAGAGCAGAAATCAATGCAATGGAGACTAAGGGAATGATACAAAAAAAATCAGTGAATCAGAGTTGATTTTTCAAAAGAATAAATAAAAGTGATAAACCCTTAGCCAACCTTGTCAAAAAGAAAAAAAAAAGGAAAGAACAGTCTCAAATTCATGCAATTAGAAATGAAAATGGTGAAGTCACAACAGATCCAGCAGAAATCCTGAGGATCATCAATACCTACTTCTAGAACTTGTACTCTAATCAAATGGAAGACACAGAAGAAATAGACAGATTCCTACACACATATGCAGTACCAAAGTTGAACAAAGAAGATGTAAAAAGCCTAAACACCTCAATTACAATCAGTGAAATTGAAACTGTAATTAAAACTTTACCAACAAAGACAAGCCCAAGTCCTGATGGTTTCACTGCTAAATTCTACAAGACATTCAGAGAAGAACTATTGCCACTACTTTTTAAACTCTTCAGTGAAATTGAAAGGGAAGCAATACTTGAAAATTCATTCCTGGAAGCAAATTTTACTTTTGATTCCGAAAGCAGAGAAAGACCCAACCAAAAATAAGAACTGTAGGCCAATCTCCTTAATGAACATAGGTGCGAAAATCCTTAATATGATACTGGCAAAAATAATACAGAGGGTCATCAAGAAGATCGTATACACAGACCAAGTCAGATTTAATCCACAGATGCAAGGATATTTCAACATAAGTGAATTAATAATTGTAATACACTATATTACCAGAATCAGACTGTGTGCTGCCATTGTGGAAATCATCATGGAGATATCTCTACTGGAACTCTGTCACAAGGTGATTCTTGGTCATACTAGTTGCTTCTTTGTGTCTCACTAGTGAAGCGTGGGGATAGGATGTGACTTTGCTGCTTTAGGTCTCAGTTTGCTCGTGATATACTCCAAGGAGGAATGTTAATTTAATATGCCTGTAACATACTGTGAAAACTTTTAAACAGGTGCGATGTACATCTAAGCAGTTATTGTAACATTTTCTATTTTTTAATTATTTGCAAAATTTAGAAAATCAAGACAGACTTGAATTTTGTAGCATTTATCACTATGTGTCCTATCTGTATGGTGTCCTTATCTGCATGGGGAAGAGTAACTGCAACTAAACATGCCACAGATAATGGATCTTTGATCTTACTGTAGATAAAAGTGCTCAAGGCAGTGTCTGAGGAGAATAATAACTTCCTTTACTTTTATTACAATCTTATTGGACAATAAAACCACTCTGCTGGACTCACAGAAAGAGTAAGTTTCCTAATTTCTAAACAGAACACTAATAAAATGCAAAGTGGATTCAATTCAATATTAGAATGTAGTGACATCACATGAGAGCCCGTATGTAGCTGGTAACACTTTGGAAGGGAAATTACAATTTTTCAAAATCCCACTGGTTCCAGTGGCTGATGTGAATCAACGCTAGTCCATAGAGTGGCATTTACAATTACATCCCCATGCTAACTGATGGCAAAAAGAGAAACTCTCTCATGTCCTTATGGAAAATGGATCTCAGCAAGTAATTAAAATGTGTGATAAGGGCTCTATTCTCTTTGAGAATAAACGTATGAGGGGCTTTTTTCAGCACAGAGAATCATTTAGAATGGTTCTTTGCACATGCCTTTGTGATTATTCTGAGGAGAAAACTCAAGTTCCAGAAGGCAAATCCATTATAGGCACCTTAAAATGCTATTGTAGAGTAGCTGTTTAAAACAAAGGCATGAGAGAAATCAAATTCCTGGATTGTTCCTGATTTTTTCAATCACTGAAGCCCACAGTCCTCAGTGGCTACTTATGCATTCTATAACACATAGAGTTAATAATATAACTCAAGCTCAAAATCAATGCTTGCAATGTGGCAGTCACCAGTGTTTGTCTTCACAGAGGCATCATAGACAGAAGACAGCCTCCTTTTGTACTATGTCCTACAGTAGTCTAGGGAAAAATAAATAGTTTCTCGAAAGCCACAATACTATTTGACTAGTCTCAAAGCTATAGTTTAGTTATGGAGACCTTTTATAGGAAAATTATTCATGTCATCCAATAAAAATATACTAGATCAGAGGTCTCTAAGCTATGATTGCACATTCTTATTAGTAATGTGATGTTGAGAAAAATCTCACACATGAACACTTATTTATGAATGCATATCTGATAATTATTAACTAATATGTAAAGCCAGAATATACACCTGGGCTTATAGGCATCTATAACAATAATACATACAGATCTACATTTGAAACAGTGTTCTTAATATTTCAAATTTGTTGGCTAACTTCTTGAGCTCACCTAAAGAATTGTAGTGACAATGTCAACAATTTCTAGTCATTTGTTTGTGCTTGCATTACAAATAGATCCTTTAATCTGTGGTTTTTCTGCCAAAATCTTTTAAAGCCACTTGTACTTTTCAATGAGGAATAGTCTTTAGTTAAAGTGCGTGATATAATGCACAGACTTCTTCAAACAGACATAGTGAAACTTCAGTATGCCAGGGTAGGCCAAATCTCTGTGTAACATAAGTGACATGTGACTGTCTGAGACCTGCACTGGGTAAGAAAATCTTGTCCCATGCATATGCCAAATATTAGGGAAAACACTTTATTTCATATTTTTGTACGAATAGGACAAAAGTTCTAATGCTCTATTTTTTCATTCTGTCTTCCTCACCCAGTAAATGTTGAGCCTCTGTTTCAGATCCCATGAGCTTTAATGACTCATTTTTGAAAATGGAAAAATAGAACATGATTAAATGAAAGGAAAGTGCTACTACTAATTCTCAGACACATTATGTGCCAAGCAAAATCAAATTGAAAAATCAAGAAAAGATGACAACACTGGCAAGGATCAAATTACAATAATTTCTAGTGATCTTTATCTAAAGAGACAAGACCGTTTATTTCCTAAAAGTGAAGAAACCAGAGTAATATACGGTAGGGAGAGATCATTGCAGCTGTATATAAGCAGTAGCAAGATGGGGCTGGCAGAGCAAGTACACAAAAAAGAATGGAACAAAAATTAAGACTTTCAAAGAAGAAATTTTGGTTAAAAATCAAAGTTGGAAAATCAGTGGAAGCCAGAGTAGGAAGGAGAAAGATATTTTAATTATAGGTGAGCATGGGTGCTTTTGTTGTCAGATAAGATTGTAAAAAAGTGAAGGAAGTTCTTAACCTCTTCAGATGTTGCCCTGAGCACTTACATATCCAGTAAGGTCAAATCATTATCTGGTGGTTGATTTACTCGTAGTGACTCAGGGACACAGCTTTTTCACTTTTCCTGTCTCTGAGGCAGGAACAGGTTTTATCCTCTAAAGTGTGGAGCCTGCCTGCACCTTCCTGCCTCTCTCCTCCCAGTGCCATGAAGGGCGCAGTCTCAGGTTCTCGCCACCCTCCCAGGCATCTCAAACCCTCCGTATGGCTTACACCCCGTGCCTTCAAACATGTCTAGTTCTCTGCTGTCGTCAAAAACGTTTTCCTGACCCAGACGCCCTCTCTAGCTACTGCTCTATTTTCCTCCTTTTACTGTCAAACTCTTCAGAGAAGCAGCTCCTGTCTGCTGCCTCCGTTTTCTCTGACACCCTGGAACAGCTTTCTGCTCACTTCACCTTCAAAAAGAATTTCCCACCGCCTGACCCAGTTATTATTACGGTGCATTTAAGTTTGAGAGCGGTCTTATGTCACGCCTCACCCTTTCTTTTCTTCCCTACCGTCTGTAGTTTGGCCTTTTCCATTTGCTGCTCCTGATCCACACTCTCCTTGCTGCCTAGGATCTGCACTGTACCATTGTGGCACCTGCCTCTCTGTTCATAGATTAAATGTTTCCGAATTTAAGGCACAGATCTATTAATTTCTCAACTTCGTGTTTTCGTTTCTCATGTTTCCCACTTACCAAGTCTTTATTTATTGCAATTGAAGGGGACTAAAGAAGTATGTTTGAACGAATTAATGAAGGAATGAATGGGTATATATTCTGCACCCTGTACAAGAAATATCCTTGGTACTCTATCAAAAGCATAATTGTCTCCTATCTTTATGTTAATTAATTTAGCCATTTGTTTTTGGTATGCTATTTATACAACTAAATGTGCTAAACTACTGGAATACGAATTAACAGCTCAGGAAATCTTAAACTGCAACATGTGAGTATTAGTAATAGGGTGGAATTGAGCAATTCTTCATATGTGAGATTTAATGAAGACTACAAGGGCTACTGATCTTTAAGCATGTTTTCTTGCTTTACATTTTCTATAACTAAAGTGTGGTAAGAAGGCATATTTCACAAATATACACACTACAAAAGACAAGAATCACAAGAAATAAGTTATGCTACTAAAATAAGGTGTAGAAGTTATGAACGTTGGCATTTGGAGATCATCTTGACTCCTTTCTCTTTCCATCTATGATAAATTCAACTGGTTTTATTCTTGGATTGCTTAAAGCCTGGTGTACGTTGAAGCCTTTGAATTAATCAGCTAATATATTTACCTTTTCTATAAGAATGACAACCACTATTTCTTCTTTGCAACTGCTCGCTAATTGACACCAGTGGAGATGAGCTGAACGTTACGGATAACGTTATGATCACGTGGCTTCTGTGCTTTCCCGACTCTGCCATTTCCCTCCAGGGAAAACTTGACATGCCTGAGATCCCTGCTTCCTTGCCTTTATTGTGCTTGTAAGTTTTGATTTGGTTGATTTACTACTGAATGATAATCATATAGAACTCTCTACTTCTTCCTAACAGCCCATTTTTGTATAAATAAGTTCAGCAGCGAGTAAAAGCTATTTATTGATAAGTCCTTTCTTTCTGGTTAGAGACCCTCGTTAGCCAGTTTGTGGCTACTACCAGTAATTTCATGAAAGGAATTACTCCACAGAACAACAAGACAAGCGAATAGAATACATAACATAGCATCATAAAACATCTATGTGATGTTCTATATTATTTATATTATTTTAAAATTTCTTTCCGTGCCTGAAAGCCTTCTTTAATTTGAGATCCAAACTTTTCTGATGCCTCTTGCCTCTTGACCTTTACAGAAATTAAAAATTTTCACTGAATAATTTTGTACATGTACAGTTATGGTTTTGTTGTTGTTGTTATCAACTGCCTATCAGTTTTTGAGCTGAAGAGCATAATGTTTTTAGTTTAGGTCGGCACCACACTATAAAATGCTTAGTAGTGAGTTTGTGTTCATGTGTATGTATGTCAGCAAATTAGTGCTGGCAAGAGCGGGGAAGGGACAAGGAATGTCAAAAGGAAAGACCAAAATTGCAACAGAATACATATGTTAAACATATCCAAATGTAAGTGACACAAATCCAAGTCAAAATTAGTTTTTCTTTAATTCAACAAATATAATTCAGCATCTACTATATACAGGTGCTACTCTAGATGCCTGTGTTAGGATGTGCTTACAAAAAAGTAGCAAGATTCTTTTTTCTGGTGAAACTGCACTGTAGTATACTGTGATAAATATACAGTAAATGTAACAAATAAATTATAAAACATAATGGAAGATTATATTTGAGAAAAGGAACAGAATAATCAGTATAGGAAAGATGGCGGTGGGGAGGGAGATTTTAGGTCAGGGAAGGGCTCACTGGGAAGGTGAGAGGTGTTGTTAAGACTTGAAATAGAAGATACAGACCCATGTTTTTGTGTAAATTCTCTGAACAGAGACAGCAGTCAGTGCAAGGGCTCTGGGACATAATCATGTCTGACACATCAAGTTCAACTCCAGTATGACTGGAGCAAAATGAGCAAGAGAGAGATTAACAGAGGAAAAACTCAGAGAACTAATGTGTGTGTGTGTGTGTGTGTGTGTGTGTGTGTGTGTGTGTGTGTGTGTGTGTAAAGTGAGAGGGTTCATGTGTGA